AATAAAGTTTGCTTAATGTCTGGATGGACTGACTCAGACATTTGCATTCTTATGTACAGCTCCTCTGGGTAATGTCTAGATAATTTCAAGGTTCTAGAGCATGTCTGAAAAGGGCTTAACTGTTATGTGACATGAAATTCTAACCAAGATAAAAAAAAAGTGACAAAGTTTATAAATAAAATCATAGGTAAATGAACATTTTTAAACATCTCCACTTCAAAATCCTGATTTGCAAGTGCCTAATCTGCCTTAGTGTGACACACTTCTCATACCTGCTGTTTTAATATGCATGCATACATTGGCAGCAGATGCTCATGAAACTGTCAAAGCCAACAGATGCTAAGAGACGCTGTGTTTAGGAAATCTGAATCCCAGCCATTAGTCTGCATTGTGGGTAGAATTTCTGACTCATTTGTCCTGTGGCAAGCATGAGCAAAGTTTCCATCAAGGCATTAGTTCAGATTCTGATCTTGAAAGTATACTTTTCCTGATAAAAGTCTGATTTGAATCAACAGAAATAAATGAGAAAATATTTAAGCTGATTTGAAGCTGCTAATACTCACTTTTCACATAGACTGTGCTCCCGCTGGGCAGCACCACCACATTGGATGAGGGGCTGGGTGGTCGTGGTGATTTTACTGCTGCTCCTATGCTGCTGCTGGTCGCTGCAGCGCTGGTGGAGGTGCAGGTAGTGCTTGTGTAGGAGTAACATACAACCACTGCAGAGAAGGAAATCAGTCATGTGACTATCCAATCTGTTTTAGCACAGCCTTAGTTAAATACAAAGTAATTCTAGGTTACCTTCTTTGTTTCCTGTTTCAGCTGGCAACAAAAGGGAAGCATTCTGATTGGCTGTGGCACTGGCAACAGCATTAGCAGCCATCGTAAAAGCTGTCTGAGGGACCAGCCTGGGCATCAAGGGAACAAGCCGACGTCCTTCAATGGACCATTCAGATGAGCTGTTAGGACCCGACATACTGGAAACAATGTGCAGTATCCTGGTTACGAATCCAGTGGGGTGTATATGGGAAACAACCTCACATTTGGTGCAACACACAGACAGAGAACAGTTATACACTTACTGATAGGCAATGGTGGTGAGGCGCTCATCATTGACAGCCCTGCGAACTTCTGCACGATGGCGCTCTGTTGAGATACTATGAGGATGTGGGGATGGGTGAACAACAGGGAACAGCACATTTATAAGTGAAGCAAAATTTTGGTGCAGAATGGGATAAAGTGCTTCTCTCGCTCATCTGAGATCATTTAGAAGATGCAGGGATCAAGTTACCCAAGTATTTTAGTAAGTTCTCCCAGCAGATCCTTCTTGTCCTTTGTCAGGTCCCCTTGAGCTCGGAGGGCACTAATAACTCCAGCATAAGCCTCCAGCTCTGGGAGACACAAAAACACACACAATGCACCAGGCAGCACTGTAGCATCTCAAATGGAGCAATGACACCTATTATGATGGTGCTTTTGTAATGTTTCATGATAAATAATAGATGTTCAGTCAGATCAGGTCAAATATAGATTTACTGGCTTGGTTAAAATTTCTGATCCAACTTCATTGCATAAAACTGCATTTGTAAAAGTGCTGTCTATGTTTTAATCTTAGGTCCTCCATCATTCATTTCATATGGCATGACCTTACCCAGTTTACGGAGAATTCTTTTGCACTCATCCCTGCCAAGGTCAAGGATGGTAGGCCATACCACTGGCATGGTACCAGTCACCACTGGTTTCTCCAGCTGAATCATGGCCTAAGCAGAGAATTGGCAATAATGCAGGTTAAGACCACATTTCTAATAAACCATACTGCTTTAGAAAAGGTTGGTGGCCCTCTCAGGCACTGCTGCGAGAGATCCTCAACTTAATCCCTATTAAGACATGGGATAGATAACATTGCTAGTCTAATCAGTCTGTTAAAGCTTTCTGTCATTCAGGCATACTCGGAATGAATTTGCTTTCTGAAGTGTGATCCTTGATATACAGTCAGGGAAAAAAATTATTTGAACCCCAGCTGATTTTGTAAGTTTGCCCACTAACAAAGAAATGATCAGTCTACAATGTCAATGGTAGGTTTATGTGAACAGTGAGAGACACAACAATAACAAAAAAACCAGAAAAATGCATTACAAAAAAAGTTATAAAGTAATTTGCATTTTCATGAATGAAATAAGTATTTGATCCC